CACACACACTGTAATGTTTTAACTAATTTTCTAGGCCACACACACTGTAATGTTTTAACTAATTATGGTGCATTGTAGTTTGTGAAATGTTGGACTTAAAACGACACAGGATTTTACGATAGGATTAGTAACGTCACACGGACTTTGATGTCATGTAATAGCTTTCTAAGAAACTAATATTTGAAATTATCTTCACCCAGTAATTGTGTGTGTGTGTTTCATGTAGAACATGATTGAATACTGCTAACGTCAATTGACTATTACGTAGTCGGTTAACCCTCTAGAATATAAATTAAAACTTCTTCACGGAAACAGCCCCGTTTTCTCTATATTTCTCAAAAATCGAGGCTAATCTACATTCCCTGCACGGGTTTAAGAATCGCTATAAGCACTGATAGTTTTAGCCAACCATTTGCTGACGAGTGTTAGTTACCCTTCGGTGGAAGACATCCTATTGCCATGGTAACCCGCGTGAACAACTGAACGGTCGAGTAGAACAAAAAGTACAGTTAAACTGTCCGGCAGGAGTATTCAGTAAGAAAGTTCTGTAGTTTGTGAAATAAAGTTTGTTGAAAATGACTGTTGTAAGGTGATTCCAGAGAACTCAAATCACAGTGCGTCATAAGTTGACTTTGTTTCCTGTACGGCAGAAATATCTACTATGACGACTCCGACAATTCACTGTCTTATACTTATGTGGCTTATGATGTTTTGGAAAATGGCGTGTTGTTCAAGTAAGTTCCTCTACATTATCACACTTGAACCAAAGTTAATATCTATACAGTAAGCGTGAATTATTAAGTGACAAACATAAGGCTTAGATACAGGTGACACCTAGACAGGGGTCTTGACAAAGTCAAGGTGAGCCACTAAGATACATCTCCACAGTCAGAGTGACCTATCAACGTACATGTAAAAGACTCAAGGTGAACTACTAAGATACATTTATACAGTCAGTATCACCTATGAAGTTACATGTTCAAGAGTCAAGGTAAGCTAATAAGATACATCTCCACAGTCAGTGTGACCTCTCAAGGTACATGTACAAGAGTCCGTGTTAGCTCCTAAGATACATCTCCGCAGTCAATGTGACCTATCAAGGTACACATTCAAGAATCAAGGTGAGCTACTAAGATGCATCTCTACAGTGAGTGTCACCTATCAAGGTACATGTACAAGAGTCAAGGTGAGCTACTAAGATACATGGCCACAATCAGTGTGATCTATCAAGGTATATGTTCAAGAGACTAGGTAAGACACTAACATGCATCTCCACAGTGTGAACTATCAAGATACATGTTCAAGACTCAAGATGAGATAATAAGGCACACCTCCACAGTTTGATTTATCAAGGTATATGATCCAGAGTCAAGGTAATCAACCAAGATATATCCCCACAATGTTCAGGAGTCAAGGCAAACTAATGAGATTCATCTTCACAGTCAGTGTGACCTATCAAGGTTCATATACAAGAGTCAAGGTGAGTTACTTAGACACTTGTCCACAGTCAGTGTGACCTTTCAAGGTACATGTACAAGAGCCAAGATGAGCCACTGACATACATCTCCACAATGTGACTTATAGACGTACATGTTCTAGAGTCAAGGTGAGCTGCTAAGATACATCTCCACAATGTGACTTATAGACGTACATGTTCTAGAGTCAAGGTGAGCTGCTAAGATACATCTCCACAATGTGACTTATAGACGTACATGTTCTAGAGTCAAGGTGAGCTGCTAAGATACATGGCCACAATCAGTGTGATCTATCAAGATGCATATTCAGGAGATATTGAGATAGATATCCACAGTCACGTAGTAGTAACTATACTTTACATGATAAAGAATGGTACACTACCAACTTATAACACCCGTGTATTATTAACTGGACTTTACATGATAAAGAATGGTACACTACCTAACTTATAACACCCGTGTATTATTAACTGGACTTTACATGATAAAGATCGGTACACTACCAACTTATAACACCCGTGTATTATTAACTGCACTTTACATGATAAAGATCGGTACACTACCAACTTATAACACCCGTGTATTATTAACTGGACTTTACATGATAAAGATCGGTACACTACCTACTCGTAACACTCCACGTTTTATTAGTTTTTTTCAAATATATATTAGTTCAATTTGAATCTATTATTATGGATGCTATAGATGTTCAGAATTTGAAGCAACTGAAGTTTCACCCTTATAGTCGTTTTTCCTGCATTGCTTAAATATTTAATGTGTCGACTGGACTTTTTATGGTCGTTTTAATTTCTTTGTCGTACTTTTCATGGTGCTCGGTTTTCACCATTAGTTTTTGCGTGTTCTGCACGAGAATTCGTCATTTTCTTTACAACAGAAAAGAGTACACCGACACCAATGAGAGACCGATAGACGAAGAAAGAATATGCCGGAGACATTTTTAATCCTAATATAACGCCTCGCTGAAATAAGCGCTGTAATATGAATTACGTGATCCAGATATTAACCAATCGTACGTGCACTACTTAACTAATGGCAGAGGAAATGAAATAATTCAACCATATCTATTTCCGTTACATTATTGTAGCAACCAAATTGCAAATTCGATAAAATCACGTAGATCTTACTATCCTTTCTCGTTCTCACCCGAAGCACATATTATTTGTGCCCCTCCCATCACGAGTGTCTTAGCAGTAAGTCTGCAGGATAACGGCGCTAAAAATCGGGCTTGGATACCCCTGGATGGCAGAGTACAGATAGCCCGTTGTAAAAGTTTGGGCCCAACAACAATCAAATTGAACCTAACTTTCTTCCCATTTTTTTCTTTCATTTATTGCATCTGTTATTTGTCTATTTCTTTCTTGTTGTTTATACAGTATTCAGCTTTTCATATACCGATTCTTTATTGTCAGTTGTTCATCAGTTTATATTTAACAAGTTCGCTAGTTCCTGATTTAAGTTACACAGTATCATTCCAATAAATTCTTCTATTTCCATGTACATATGTTAACCTATTAATCAATAGTAAAACAACTTAAAAACTGTTAAATTTATTAAACAATGTTAGCGAAGCCTAGCATCCTAAGGAACATATGGAATCCAAAATTTCATTTTAAAAATGTTACTGAGACTTTGCATCTTAACGAATATTTGTGGGATCTTAAAGTTCAAATGTGTATTTTGGATCAGTGTAAATATATAAATAATATTCTAGACTCGTGTTACAGTGAGAATTCACATGTACGACTGTGGTTTCCATGTGATTTCACTAACACGTTCACATGAAGTTTGAAGATAACTTACTCATTTAAAGAAGTTGACAAAAGTAGAAGTTGTTTCCTACATTATGGGTTGTTGCTCATTTTCGTATTTGGTTGGATTCTTAATGACCCAATAAATCGAGAGGCGGATAGCTTAAACAAGTACACAAACCATGATGTTAGACAGATCGTACAAGTACACAAAATATGATGTGAGACACATCGTTTAAACAAGTACACAAACTATTATGTGATGTACCACATCTAAACAAGTACACAAACCATGATGTGATGTACCACATCTAAACAAGTACACAAACTATTATGTGATGTACCACATATAAACAAGTACACAAACTATTATGTGATGTACCACATATAAACAAGTACACAAACTATTATGTGATGTACCACATATAAACAAGTACGCAAACTATTATGTGATGTACCACATATAAACAAGTACACAAACCACGATGTGATGTACCACATATAAACAAGTACACAAACTATTATGTGATGTACCACATATAAACAAGTACACAAACTATTATGTGATGTACCACATCTAAACAAGTACACAAACCATGATATGATGTACCACATATAAACAAGTACACAAACCACGATGTGATGTACCACATATAAACAAGTACACAAACTATTATGTGATGTACCACATATAAACAAGTACACAAACCATGATGTGATGTACCACGTCTAAACAAGAAAATATTCTTCTTTTATTCACTCAATTCAAACTGGACCTCAAGATATCCAAAATGTCTGACTAGTGCATAATATTTCATAAGAAAAGTAACTGCATAAACCAATGAACATGTTTTCTTTAGAAGGTTTCTTTATTTCTAGATGACCCAGAAACCGGGATTCCTGTTGTTTTCAAACGTCAGGTAGAAGATATTTCAGAAACTGGTACAGAATCCATTGGCTTAGGTGGTATTTCGAACCAAACTGTCGCATTCCCTTCTTTTCAGCCCACCAAAAATAATCAAATCAACTCAAGTTTAGACGAAGATTTCGTAAGCAAAATGGCGTCAACTACGGAAGGTGTCGAGGTATCACAGTCTTTGGTTGATCATGATAGTAGTACAACTGAGCTACTTTCATCGAGCAATTATGAGGATTCAACATTTGTTCCAAATATGACCACGGCCATCAACCAATCAGACGCCTTAACTAGCACAACCACTGTCACCGACCAATCAGATGTCTTCTCTAGCATAACTATTATCACCAACCAACCAGATGCTATATCGACGTTTAGTTCAAGTCTGAATGGTAACGTTAGTACAGAACAAAAAGAAAACTCGACAACTTTGTCACCAGGAGGAGCAAAATATCCAAGTAAGTAAAACAAAAAACATGAACTAAACTGACAACATTAAATCTGGTGATTTGAATGTTGACGGGCAATGTTACGTCACACGTTACTCTCCTCTGTCTCCTAGACCAGCTTCAGTACTTAAACTTCGTTTGTTAATGTTAAAATATTTAAATGTTATCATTTTCATGTCAAATATGTCTCATGGTTGTTTTTGATTTTCGAATAGCGCTAATCAAAATAAGATTGTATTTTATTTATATGATAATGTTGATAGTAAAAATAATAAGGTTGTGACGTAATGTAAAGCTGTAAGGTTGTTAAACAACGATGTACTAACGTAACAAAAATTGTAAGGTTGTTAAACAACACTATTGTAACGTATTATAAAGTTTTAAGGTTCTTAAACAGCATTGTTATAACGTAACATAAAGTTGTACGATGGTTAAACAACGCAGTTGTAACGTAACGTAAAGGTGTAGGATTGTTAAAACAACGGTGTTGTAACGTAGCGTAAAGTTGAAGGAGCTATTTCGTGAGTGTTTTTAACCTTACAACAGAGTAGTTTTAACAACCTTATAATTTTACTTACGTTTTGGCTGTTACTTAAACAACCCTAAAAACCTTACTATTACGTTGTGATAGTGTTCCTCAAACAATTTAAAACTTTAAGTTACATTAAAATACTATTGTTTAACGACCTTACAACTTTATGTTACATGACGATAGTGTCGTTTACCAATCTTACATCTTTACGATATGTTACAACAGTGTTGTTTAACAACCTTACAACTTTACACTACGTTTTAACAATCCAACAACTTTACGTTACGTTACAAAAGTGTTGTTTAACAATCCCAGATCTTTAATTTACTTTACTGTAGTGTTGTTTAACAATTCTACAACTTTACGATATGTTACAACAGTGACGTTTTAACAATCGTACAACTTTATTTTTACTTTACATCGGTGTTATTTAACAGCCCTACGACTTTATGTAATGCTACAGCAGTGTTGTTTAATAATCCCAAAACTTTAAGATACGTTACAAAAGTGTTGTACACCTTTATGTTACGCTACAGCAGTACTGTTAACAGTTCTACAACTTTATCATACGTTCCTACAGTTTTGTTTAATAACCTTACAACCTTACGTTAAGTTACAGCAGTGTTATTTAACAACCTTGCAACTTTACGTTACGTTACAACAGTGATGTTTAACAATCCTATAACTTTATGATACGTTAGAACAGTGTTATTTTAATAATCCAACAACTTTACGTTGCTTTACAACATTGTTTTTTAACAATCTTACAGCCTTACGTTAAGTTACAGCAGTGTTGTTTAACAACCTTGCAACTTTAAGTTACGTTAAAACAGTGGTTTTTAACAATCCTACCACTTTTTGCTACTTTACAACAGTAACGTTTTATCAACCTTACAACTTTACATTACGTTACAACAGTGTTGTTTAACAGCCCTACAACTTTATGCTACGTTATAACATTGACGTTTTTTCAACCTTACAACTTTACGATACGTTACAACGATGTTGTATAACAATCATACAACTTTACGACACATTAGAAACTGTTTTGTTTAACATCCTTACAACTTTACCTTATGTTACAACAGTGTTGTTTTAAGAGTCCTACAATTTTACGTTACGTTACACCAGTGTTATATAACAATCTCACAACTTTACGATATTTGACAACAATGTTTTTACAGATAAAAGTTGAAGGATTGTTAACAAAACTGTGTCGCAACGTAACGTAAAAGTTAGTGGTTTGTTTTTAGCGCAAAACTGCACGGTGGTGTATCTACACTCTTTCCACTGCATAGAATCGAACGTAAAAGTTAACATAAATATTGACAAAATATAATAAAAATTGTTTCATTCAAAAGACTTTCTTTTACGCCTGTTAATTATAATCGTGTCATATTTTACTTCTCTGCCTGGGTGATACTAAATGTTTACATGTTATACTTCTTCCTAATGTGGAATAATAAATTAACTTGAAGTTGTTCATAAAATGTTGTATAAGAAATACACTTTTACCAGTGTTAGTTGAAAATACGATGGTGAGTAATACCAGCATTATTTTTGGGAATCATTTTGTTGTATATTTTTGTTGACTAAACCTTATTTTTTCAGAAACTCAGTGCGTCTTGGAAGAAGGACTGGAGTGTATAGAGCAGATAGTTTGCTATGGTGAAGGGAACATCAACTGTGATCAGGAAGAACGGGAACAAGGTAAAAACCCTAGGGTTGACGTTAGCAACTGCTTTTAAAAGGAAGTATCACAATCACATTTTCCTGTAATAGTGTATGTCGACATCACCTAGTTGCTTTGTGAATTTTCTGTTAAACAACAAACGTCATTCGTACAGACTATATATGTAGGTTCAAAAGTAAAACCATTTTGACTATCATATCAATCAGATCATTCAATAAATTAACCGTGGAACTTTTGAACACATAGTTTTTCTGATTTATACATGCCATAAATTATGTATAAGTTCATGACTTTGTTGGCTCCTAGTAACATATCAACCTATTTCTGAGAGTCCACCACTTTATTGACTCCTAGTAACATATCAATCAATCATGGTGTCCTCCCTAATTCTGAGGACCCATCATTTTATTGACTCCTAGTAACATATCAATCAATCATGGTGTCCTCCCTAATTCTGAGGACCCATCATTTTATTGACTCATAGTAACATATCAACCAATCATGGTGTCCTCCCTAATTCTGAGGACCCATCATTTTATTGACTCATAGTAACATATCAAACAACCATGATTCCCCGCCTAATTTTGAGGACCCATCACTTTATTGACTTCTAGTTACATATCAACCAATCATGGTGTTGTCCCTAATTATACAGATCCACCACTTTATTGGCTCCTAGTAACACACTAACCAATCATGGTGTCCTCCCCAGTTCTTAGGGTCCACCGCTTTATTGGCTCCTAGTAACACACTAACCAATCACGGTGTCCTCCCCAATTCTTAGAGTCCACTGCTTTATTGGCTACTAGTAACATATCAACCAATCATGATGTCCTCCCTAACTCTTAGGCTCCATTACTTTATTGGCTTCTAGTAACACACCAACCAACCATGATTCCCTCACTAATTCTGAGGACTCATCACTTTATTGACTCCTAGTAACATATCAACCAATCATGGTGTACATCCTAATTCTGAAGGTCCACTAATTTATTGGTTCCTAGTAACGCACTAACCAATCATGATGTCCTCCCTAACTCTTAGGCTCCATTACTTTATTGGCTTCTAGTAACACACCAACCAACCATGATTCCCTCACTAATTCTGATGGCCCATCACTTTATTGACTCCTAGTAACATATCAACCAATCATGGTGTCCATCCTAACTCTTAGGCTCCATTACTTTATTGGCTTCTAGTAACATATCAACCAACCATGATTCCCTCACTAATTCTGATGGCCCATCACTTTATTGGCTCTTAGTAACACACTAACCTATCATGATGTCCTCCCTAACTCTTAGGCTCCAT